TGCGGCCCCATTTTCTCCTTAAACATTTTCGATAACTGCCCATAAATTTTTATTTTGTTGATGCAACGTTCTAAAACTTCGGCACTTTGCTTCAGCCGATAGGTCTACGTTCTTGGAGAGTTTGAGCTCGCCGTGATGTCTAGTTTACTGTTGCAGCCCGAAAAACACTGCTTGGTTTTCTCGCAAACTCCTTGCACTCTCTTGCCTAGGAACGCGGAGCGGTTACAGATGTAGCAGAATTAGAAAAATGTAGTGTCTAGAGTACCGTCCGACGGCACTCTTGCAGAGCATTCAAGTGCCGTCCGACGGTACTCCACTCACGCGTTCAAGTGCCGTCCGAAAGTCTCGTATAAAACGAGTTCTCAAAACAATTTTTTCTAAGCTGTAATGTAGCTTTGTGGTAAGATGTGTGCTTCCTAAGCAAGCGGTCCCGGGTTCGATCCCCAACGCGGGCTTATTTTTCTTTCTTTTGCTCGAACAGTTTGTTTTGTCGACGCATTTGGCGATACTTACATTTCTTTTTTACGACTAACAATTGAAAAAAACGTATGTTGACGAAATTTCGCTGAACAAAATGGTATGGGACTGTTTCTGGAGGTGCATGGGGGACACTGGGGCTTGGTTTGCCGGCTGGACGTCGCGAAGCGGCGTGTACGGCAAGGCCAAATGGGTCAATAAATTTGCAATTAGCCGCGACATACCTTCTCCGCGAAGCGGCGTGAACGCAGGCGGGGGGCTGTGTCAAGGGGTGTCCAAACAGGACACTACAAAACGGACGACTCCGACAAATCGTGAAAATTGAAGCGGACGCTTCTATTTTTACGATTTGTCGGAGTCGTAAAAATTTTTCCAGGAGTCGTGAAACTTTTCACGACCACGACTTCTCTCCTCGCCTCCTCCACTTTTCTCTGACGTCGGTGCCTGTGAGATTGGACGTCACACGCCACCTGCGTCTGGCTCACCTCGCCAACGCCCTCGCGTACCGCAGTCGCCTCGGCTCGAAGGCCAAGGAGGTCAGGCTTCGGGTGGCTTTGGGACATTCCTGCGTCGAAGGGTGCGCTTCGGCCGCCCTGGCTCAGCTTTCTTTGTCAAAATCCACGTTCGTAGCTCGAAAAAAATAAATAAAGTGCAGTGCGCAACGGTGAGACTTTTAGTTGTATGTAGAAACATTGAGAACTTAAGAATATATCATTTATTTTATTAAACTCCAAACCAACCAGGTTTGTTTGTCTATGAGGTACGTTAGGAACAAGAGCCGCGGGAATCCAATCCAATCCACAGAAGTGCTGGAAGATGACACGACTATGGTGCCTGGAACGCGTCTCCGACTGGTGTGTTTACCGCGGCCAAAAAAAGTGGTCCCTCGATTTCCGCCTGATGACGTCATAGAAGCGTCATGCTGTCGCCGGTCGCGACCCTGGTGGTGTCTCAACAGCTGTGGTGTCTATAGCAGACGCCTGCTCTGCTGCAGGTCGCTCCTCACTGTGACAGTCCACGGAAGCAGCAGCCGAAAGTTGGGACGCCTGGGACGCCGTGACGACAGCGACACTCGCGTTCGCTCGCGCTTTTCGCCAAAATCTCTAAAGCCAACCACCAGGATCGCGACAGTCAACAGCATGACACTCCGGCTTCTGTGACGTCATTTGTTGCCACTTGGGGACCACTTTTGATGTATGGGCAGCATAGGACGCTAAAAACACCAGTCGGAGACACGCTCCAGGCACCATAACACGACCTTGGATACCACGCGCACTCGCCTGTCTTGCCCCCTCACACTCTAATCTTTCCTTTCCCGTTTTCGGAACTTGAAAAACGGCAGAGTCTTGAGCGATTGACCGACAGCCAACAAAGCGTGTGAGTGGCTCTCCGGACCCACGTGATGAGCAGAGCAAGGCCGCCGTGGAGGAAGCGAGGGGGAGATTTGACGGGGGGAAGTTTCCCCCCGGCAGCTTTGACGGAGGGAAATTTCCCCCCGACGGCCGGTAGCGGAGCGCGGCACGATTTGCCGGAGTCGTGAGTTTTGTAGTATCCTGCTTGGACAGGCCTTTAACGAGCTCCCGTGATACACGGGTCATCCGAGTTTCTTTCGGACGGCACTTGTAGGCGCGAGTGGAGTGCCGTCGGACGGCACTGTAGACAGAGCAAAAAATCTGTTGCGGTTACCATACAATACACGCAAATACTTACTCTTGGTCGAACTTCAGTACTCTCAATAATGACGGGAATTGCTAGGCGGGTACCTTGCATCTTCTTGATCAGATCTTTTTTGGTCTCTGTTACAATAAGCAAAAAAAAGTATTGAGTACATCAAAATAGACCGCAAACAGAAAAGTAATACGAGACATGTTCCCCAACTGAAACCCAGATGTCATCTTTTGATTCTTTCTTGATAGCATCAGAAACATCAAATAACTAAGCGGGAAACAGGAAGTAAAGCACTCACCTCCGAGCATCATAATATTAGCCGGATAGTAATTTTCCTCTTCGCCCGCCTCCGAGCGCCAGTAGGCGAGCTTCACGACTGTGGGATCGAGGTCGTCGATACTCGCCGGTCTAAACTTTTTTTTATCAAACTTACCGGCAAAATCGATTTTTCGCCATCGAGGTATTTGACATACGCGTACATGTTTAGTTTCTCAACTGCAGTTTCTGGCAGCGCGGTTTCTGATCGGTAAATATTGTTTTCAGGCGCCGTGGAACTTTTTGGAACAAACATAGACAACAAATGGATAAGGTTTTTCAGCAAAATGTTTCAACCGGTGGATGCAGTATTTGTTAGCAAACGTACACAGCCGTACATGTTAAAGATAAATACTATTATAAGTGAAAACAATTAAAATTAATTACCAGTGACAAAAATGAACTTGCAAAGCCAACAGAAAAAGGCACCAAAAGAACATGTAAAGCCAATAGAATCTAGTCCTCCTCGCCCTCCTCTCCTTTCTTTACCCCACCCCACCCCCCGTGATATTGACGCATGTTATAGTTTCGCTTTCGCTTTCGCTTTCCTTTTTACGTACACAGTGAAGCGAAATGCAGGGGAGGCCTTTGTACACCGCAAATGGAACATTCGAACCAGCAGAGGGACTCCTTCAGCCAGGTGCGCGATCAAAATTACCAGTGTTGGGACCGAGGGGGTTCTCCGGGTAGCGTCATGCAGGGCCAGGCCAGGAAAGGAGCAGCGGGCAGACTCCCGTCCAGGGACATGACGAGACGGGAGGGTCTCTCGCAACGAAACTTTGTTTAATACATATGTACAAAGTATTTACAACGTCCGAGAGCACCGATGCGACATTCTGTTTGCCCCTTTTATAGGGTCGCTCTTCGGTACTCTCGCGGCTGGCAGCCAATGGTGGCCGAGCTGCCAACAAATCATGTTCAGGCCCCGCCTCCACTCATCCCCTGAGCACGCACACACCCACATGCACACACTGCAGCTGTGGCCGGACTTTACACTCCGGCGCCGAGGCACCCTTGCCCTCGAAAGCTGCGCCAAGGACGCGACAGCAAGGGGTCCAGTGTTTGCCGGGGTGACGACGTTGGCCGTGGTAGTGCTGACCCCTCCATCAGACGGCGTTGAGGCACGGGAGAGGGCTTAGCCGGATCATCCGGAGGTGGCGTCCGGGGATAATCCCACCCTCACAGAGGTCCCGCAGCTGGCGCGTCGTTACCCGGAATCCTGGCCCGGTAATCCTCCCGGTTCTTGAGTCGGCTGACCCCGTTTCGGACCAGCGTTAACGCAGCCAGAAAGAAGGGTCCGGCTTAGCTCCGCGCCTAGGTGGGGCGACGCCAACACGGTGGTCCCACGGCACCCCCTTGTCGCCTCTCGCCTCGTTTCCGGGCAAGCCGACCGGAGCCATGTGGCGATGCTACTCAATGAGTTCACCGTTGCCGGACGGATTCGATAGGGAGGGTCTGGTCCGGGGCTTTTCCGTTTTCACAACACCAGGCAATGCTTGTTGTCTGTGTCGAGTGACGAGGAGCTGAGCTGTCGGGCGCCGAAGAGCGAGCGGGTCGTAGTTGTCTGGTCACGAGCAACGAGAGGGTGACCGCCACTAGCACAAAACCAGACTCGTCGGCTTCAGCCAGCCTTTCTAACTCTTGAGAATTATGGGGAGAGTACACCAAAGGAAACAATACTTTAGGAAGAAGCCTTTCGTCGTGCCAAGATCCACACGGCATAACAGAGCTTTGCGGGCAAATCGTGCGGAAACTACTGCAAGCGCCGAAACTTTCGCGGAGCGCCAGGACGCTCGCCCGGGTTCCTCACGCGAAGCTGGCGAGAGCCGTGACATCGAACAGGTCAGTGGATTTCCCCGTGTCAGGTGCGCGAGCGAAATTGACACAAATCAACAAACCGGAGAACTGTCGTTGCCAGAAACTTCTGCGATACCCGACGACTACGACGAGGTGACAAGCGACGCCAGCAGCTCTGCACCCGCTGAAGACTCAAAAGGAGTTAGTCAGGACAATGATGGATCTCTCCCAAGCTCCTACGACGAAGTGCACTCTGATGACGACAGAGAAGATGAGGCCGGCAATCCTGAGGGCGCGGGTGAGGGCGTTGGTGAGGGCGATCAGCTTCCATTTGACGACGTTCGTCTGCTGGGTTCAGACACCACAGTTATGATGGCCATCGTGCTTTTAGCATCGTTCGTTATCGCTCATGCGCTCTCTTGGGCGGCGCATGACGATTTGTTGTGCATCATGAACGCTATTTTAGGCTGCATTGCAATGCCACCATCCAAATGCCTTTTCCGCAAGCTGTGGAACAAGGACAAGGCTAACTACTTCTACTACTGTGAAGCCTGTGAGACACTTCTGAACTTGGACATGACCTGCAAGATCTGCAACACCACGTACGAGTTAAGGAAACTTCGAGCTAATGGCTGCTTCTTTGTGATCAAGGAACAGGCAGGCACTTCATGAAAACCTTGAGAAGATTGCTGCAACTGCCACAAATGAAAACATCAATGACATCACAGCAGGGGCCGCTTACAGAAAGCTTAGGGAAGACGGAACATTGCAGTATGGTGATCTGACCATCACATTCAATACGGATGGCAGCTCACTTTTCAAATCATCAAGAAACTCAATCTGGCCCATCCAGTTCATTATCAATGAACTTCCTCCTCAAATAAGGTACAAGCACCCAACACTTGCTGGTCTGTGGTTTGGGAAAAAACGCCCTAAAATGACCCTGTTCCTTGGCAAATTCGTCGAACAATTCAACAGCATGGAGCCACTCACGTGGACCCACATGATGAAGACGTACCACAGCAAAGTTTACGCTCTCTGTTGTTGCGTAGACGCACCAGCACGAGCAGCAGTGCAGAACTTTACGCAGTTCAACAACTTCTTTGGGTGTCCATGGTGTCTCACAAAGGCTGAGCATAAAGAAGGTAAGAAACTGTGCAATATGCTCATGACTGAAATAAGAGTTGAAACGCAAGCACCCTGACAGTATTGATGACCCTACTAAAAAGCTCAGAGACAGTCGGCACAAAGAACGGAACAGTCGCAGCACTGGCATTTTTCTGCATAAGCAATGTGCTGAATGCATGTGATGCAACATAATGACGAGGTTTCAGACCAAGTATATGTGATTTTTTTTCTTAGAAAAGCCAAATCCAGAAACCAAAGCTGAGCCAATTCTTGTTGAAATTCTGAGTATATTTGGGTGTGCAGTTTCCAAAAGGTACCACACTGAAATCAGTCATATGTAAGGAAAGCCACTGTACAGGTGGCTGCGGTACAGGGCTGAAATCTATACTGATGAGCAAACTTTCATGCTTATCTCAGATTTGCTCCACATGGTTTTGGTTCTTTTGAAAACAAAATAAATAAATAAAAAAAACTATGCATTATAAGATAAATCGGGCACTTAAGTAGATCATTTTTAATGTCCACATTGCTCTAAATTTAACCAACCACCTTGATTCTGAGGAAAAAGAACCCTAAAAGAAGCTCATATTACTTGAATAAGTGTGATGGTGAGCAAGCTCAATGGTTCAGTTATCACAAGTGCCAGGTAATAGCGTAATATATTTCAGCATCTGAAAGCCGTTTATGTGTTGTTTTCAGGTAAAATCCAGCTCTATTAAAGAAATATTTGCACCTCAAATATTTTTATTTGAAGGTGGCTTGAGCTATATCTAATTAAAAATGAAGCAATGATATTTTGAGTCTGTCTCTTTAATTATAGTTATATATGCAATTGCACTTAGACACATTGAGCGCTAAAAACTTACAGTTGTAAAAATCATCACTGCCAGTAATAAAGTGCAATTTGTTTCCCTTCAAAGCAGAAATTAAGCCCAGTATTTTCCGATTTTTTAATTTGCAGAGACCAGATCTTATTATTCGTTACCTCATTTAGATTTCCGAAAGCTAAAGGAAATTAAATATTGTGTTGCTCTCAGTTTGCAAAATATGAAAAATTGGAAAAAAAAACAAATTTAATTTTGAGCACAGACTTCTTATAAGACGCCTCATTTCGACCTAAAATTTTGTATGAGGCCGATTGTGAGCAAATCTCGATCCACTTACAATAAATCCCGTTCATCCACTATGCAAGTCTGCTAAAACAGGTGTCCGGGTGCACTTTGTTGTTTGCAGGAGGCATGCGATACCTATCATCGACCCCTGGACCAGAACGAACACCAGCAGGAGTAATTCGGGATGCTCAACTGGCAGTTGAACTAAACACGGACATCAATGGTGTGAAGGGGCCCTCACCTCTTACGAACCTGATGGGATTTAACATTGTCTGGGGCTACACGGTGGATTATATGCATTGTGTGCTCCAGGGAGTCTCGAAGCAGATAACCGAGTTCCTTGTCAACTCATCCCACTCACAGGCATCTTTCTACATAGGTGAGGACTTTAAACTCTTATAGCTAACATGGTTTACACTGAGCGAGTAAGGAACGCATGATTGGGCAGCACTCAAGAAGTCCAAACAGTGACACCGTAGCCATGCGGATCATGCATAATTGCAGGCTACCTCGCTACAGATAATGTCAAGAGATAGAACAGTCATTTGGTTGTGATATAGAACCTTTATGCATCCCAGGCTGTATGCAAAAAAAAAGCAGGAATGTAGGAAGGAAGAGACAACATGCAGCATGCGATTACACCTAGTGTTGTCTTTTCCTCCCTCTGTCCTTCTTTTGTTTTTTGGCATTCAATCTGTGATGAAATACCGACTACCCTAACTTAGTATTTTGCTTTATGTGCCTTCTGTCAAACGGATGCTTCAGTCCATCCTTTACGAACTGTGCCACTCTGACATGATAGATTAAAGAAGGAACACAACAAAGCACATAAAAAGGCACTACAAAGGTTCTTGAGATCGCCTCTTTATGGCCAAAATGTGATCTACGTGCTCTAAGCATACCAAAAATAAAAATAAATTACACTGCTGTGCGGCCTATTTTAGAATTGAAATGTGCTCAAAGTTTGCGGCAGCTCAGACCTACAGATGGCGCCACCGAACCAGGCCGAATACAGTTGAACGACAAACGGCACTCATCAGTCAGCAACAAGCGATGGCTTCCCATGCAGACAAGGAACCGACCAGTCATGCTCATTCATGTGGGAAGCAGTCACTCGTGATCCTCTGACAGCGCCGTTCGTCATCTGGCAATAGTTCAATTTCTGCGATATATTGCAAAAAAAAATCTTTTGATCACATTTTTAATACGAAATTAAGGGGTGCACAATTGTAATATCTGAATGTTTAGAATGCTTAAAGCCTGTAGAATTGGTCATGACTAGGGTTCCATATCGTCTGTGTTTATTTTTCTGCAAAATCAGGGATGTTTTTGCAGTGTTTTTTTTTTCTCTCAAATTCCGTGGTTTTCTGTGTCTATTTTTGTGTCTGCCAGAAATCGGGGTTTATGTCGTAAAAGCAAATGCATATCTATGGCATTTTTTAGGAAAAATAATTCTATGTGCTGTTTCACAGATAAGCACATGGAAACAATGTACAAAGAAAAAGGTGGCCTCACGGGCAGTTCACTGCGGTCAGTGTTCGGGGTCACCACAAATAAGCCTATTGATAAAAGGTTCTTGTTGCGCAAAAGTGGGGTTTTTCTTCTTTCATGTGAGCTACAATTCAGGATTTTTTATTGTTACACATTTTGAGAAAACCCCTTCGGGGGTTACTTTTTCAGTGCTTATCGGGATATACCGAAAAAATGCAGCCCTATTTATGACAAAGAATAGACCATAGCAGAACCATCTTTAGTGCCCCTTTAAAATACAGATGTGAGTGATCGAAAAGCTCAGACAGCTCAAATGTGGCCGCTTTGCCTCCTTATTCAGGCAAAACAATTTACGAATCATTTCCTCACTAGTTACCTATAAATGACAATAGCTATTCCATCCCACCCCTAAAATAAATAGTTTCATGCATGGTAATTTTTTGTGACTTCTATGTATATCGCTATATATTTTCAGTATCATAGCTAGCGGTCCACTGCGGCATAACCATGTGGCTGTTTCAGGGGACAAGCCTCCCACCAGACCATTTTGCCTAATTTCTTGTATTTACAGCTTCTGTGGGGCAAACTACAGAGTGTCCTTAAAGTAGAATTTTTTTTACTAGATTTGTGATTAAAACTTTTTAAATATTCTGGGCCCGTTTGCTCGAAGCGCTAACCGCGGCTAAAGTTAGCCGCAGTACCTAGGAAAGGGATTTTGAGATCACATGACTGGTTCGGTAGGGATGCGGGGAAACATGGGCGGTGCCCCAGTGAGTGAGCGCCGGTCGCTTTGGAACTAATATGTCGTTTTAGCTGCAATATCGGGCGCGTGAGTCAGCAACGAATAACGGAGAAGGCCTTCGCTCTGCCTTACCTCACTAAAATCGCAAAGCATGGGCAATGACATCGCCGCATTTTTTAGACATTGTTTCGATTCTGGGCATTCCTAAGCCTAAAAATGAACGCGATAATTGTTGGCATGGCAACGTCTTTGGAAAGCGGATTGTTGATAGCCCACAAAAGCCGACAGCGTCCCGACAGACTTTTTCTCAATTATCCAAGCATCGCGAGGAGAACGCTGCAAGTGTAATTCTACCGCTCACGCGCGCTGGCCTTCCTCTTATAAAAGATTTGAAGTAAAAAATCATAATAAGGCTTCAATGAAGGCGCGTGCAAGGCAAAATTTGTTTTATACTTTTTGCTTTAGAACGGTTACTACTGCAGACGCCAGCACGTGCGACGCATGCAACTACAGTCGTAGCATTCACCTCGGTGCTTGGATAATTTAGAATAAAGGTCTGCTGGGACGCCGTCTGCTTTTGTGTGCTATCAACAATCCGCTTTCCAAAGACGTTGCTCTGCCGACAATTATCGCGTTCATTTAGGCTTAGGAGTGCCCAGAATCGAAACACTATCTAAAAAATGTGGCGATGTCATTGCCCATGCTTTGCGGTTTAAGAGGGAGCGCTCCTCCAAGCCCCTTAGAGAATACACGCGATTTTCTGCCATTTTACGAAAATTCTCATTTAATAACCGTTACACCGATTTTTTCAAACTTTTTTGCTATAAAAAGACTGATTCTTCGTCCAACTATCCCTCAGAGCATATTTTTCATAAAAACATTTATTATATTTTATATTAAATTGTGAAATCGGTCGGAATTTGCTGTTTTGACATGTTTACGTTAGAACGCGTTTTTAAAAACCTGTGAATTTTGAACTACAAATGTGTCTTGTGGGATATCTGCGGAATTTAACACGAAATTCAGTTATATTAAACTTATAGCTGTAAGTATATCCGTTCTTTAACTACAGCGAAAAAACTGAACCAAGGCGTTGTGGCTTGTTTTCCTCGTTTGGACGGTCAAGACTAGTTCGACGAGCGTCGCGTGAGGGCGCCACCATTTCGCCACGCACGCTGCTCTGATTTTGTATTACTCCACGCGCATGCGCTCTTCAGTAACGCGCTTGTGGTGGTCCAGAGACGGCAAGACCCGTCCAGACAGAGTGGTTTTGTTTCTCGGGGTGGGTTGTCAGGCGGATAGCTGTGCGTGTTTTCATAACTAGAAAGGCTGTCCTCGCAGCTATGGGTCCAAAGAGGTATAAATATGGCAAGCGAAAGGTCTCTGCTTAAACTACGGATGGTGAGGTTTCAGGTGAGGTTGAGTCATTGTGTCGTAGCGCTGCGAGAACGATTTGACTCGGGGTGTTGAAGATGCCGCTTGGGAAGCCATGCAACAGGCCGGAGTGGAAGAAGCGAGGCGCGCGAAGGAATCTGGCGAGATCGATGCCGAAGGCTATCCGCTTGTTACCGTCGTTGCAGACTGTGCGTGGTCAAAGCGATCGTACAGGCACAAGAACGACGCTCCTTCTGGTACGGTAAGTACTACATTTCTTCCTCTAAAAGGGGCGCGAATTTTGATCGTAGATATAATATTCATTTCTTTAGAGTGCGTTCGAAAGAAATCCGAAGCATGTTTTTCTCGCCGCGAAAATACATTAGTCTCTGTCGCTAGGCTACATTTGGGCGGAGGCTGAGCATTTGGCAATGCGTAGTTTATTTTTATGGGGAGATGACAGTGGTTAGAATCCCTCTCTGTTGTATGTGTATTTCTGTGAATGCAAGATTTGTTTCGGCCACTGGGGTCCGACGATTTCTCACGAAGCACTGGAAACAGTTATGCTTTTTGTGTGCCTGTTTTAGTGACCGCTGTTTTATGTACTATACATTCCGAACATACGCGGTGCCGTGCAGTCAGTTCGTCAGACGACGTTTTAGACAGCTCGTTTCTTCGAAGCTGCACTTTTTCAAGGATAAATCGTTCCATCGGAAATAGCCGGCGTTCGTTTCATCGATAAACCTTGTGACGTTTCGTCTAGTTCTCCTATTACGTGCGTGCTCGCGCTTGCGTACGTAATTGCGCGTCCGTGTCTGCTTGCGTGTGCGCCTGCATGAGCGAGGATGCTTATGTGCGTGCCCCCCATGCACATGCGTGTTTTCATACCTACGCGTGAGTATATTTACCCGCGTATCTGTGTGCGTGTTATACGTGCATGTGCGTGCGTCTTTGCACGCGTGGGCGTTTGCCTGCTCATAAGTGCGCGTGCCTGTGCGAGTGCGCGCGTGCACGTGCGTGTGTAATTCGTGCGTACATGTGCGCGGGTGTGCTTGCGCGTGTGTACGTGAATTTGCATCCGTGCCTGCGCGTGCATCCGCGTATCTGTGTTCGCGCATGCGTATGAGTGCCTAATTCGTGCGTGTTTGAGTGGGCGCATGCATACTTGGGCGTACGTGTGCCCAAGTGCGCACGTTGTCGGTCTTTGCGGGAAAGGTTCGAGAAGCTCGAACTCGAACCTCGGCTGGTTCGCGACACCTTTAGTACTCACGTTGCGGACAATTGGTGATTGGCCGCTGATAACTTCACCGTAACTTTTTGCTTTATGTTTAGCGCCATTTTTTTATATTTCTATTCGTGCGATTGTAATCTTTTGCGATTAAACTCTCTGTACCCTTTCCTTGTGACCTATGAAACGATCTCGAACGCCTCGAACAACAGCGACGCTTGCGTTCGTTCTCGGGGCTAGTAGGCAAGGAGGTTACAAGTATTTATATGACGTCAGACTGCCTTTTGATGCCGAGTCACAACACAGAAGTATGGCCACCGAAGGCAAAAGCAGTTATCCCATTGGCGAGTTTGCTTTGTCTTTCATTTGTCACAACTCTCGCGAATCAGTTTTGCTTTATCGTTTGGTGGTCATGTTTCTGGGCGATGACTCAGCACGTGACTAGACCGTATAACCGTTCATGGTGTTTTCTCTGCTTTTATTTTTTAGATTGAACGATTCTGCTGCAGTGTGGAACGAACTACACGAAAGTGCTCAACCTTCTACGAAGTCTTCCAAGGAGCAGAA